CGACTGCCCGCCCTCTCTGCCTTGCGGGTGGTCGCACAGCGAGGCGAGGCCTCGGCCGCGGCTTCGAGCTGCAGCTGAGCCGTGGAGATGAGGCGGCAGCGCAGCAGAGGGGACCCAGCTCCTCCTCCCACCGTCAGGCCATGCTCTGCCCGAGCCGGACGGCTGCGGACGTCGTTCTGCTGGTACGAGCAAACCCCTGCATCCCCTCCAAGGCCCGTGTCCCGGTCGCTGGGTGCTGGTTTCCGTGTTTCAGGGAGCGTGGGCCTCTGCCCTGCGCTGTGCGTGGGTTATGCAGAGGAGTGCGGAACGCGGGGCGTCTGCCACGCCGTGAGGGTGCGGTACCTGGCGAGGCGGAGAGGTGGGGTGGCTGACGCTGGGTGCTGCGTTCCCTCTGGTGGGTGTTTATATGTAACCACCGTGCAGAGGATGCCCTTCTCCCTGGTGCCAGCACCCGCCAAGTCCTTCGCAGCTTCCAGCAGCAGCAGTCCGTGAGGACGGACGCCGCTGGCATCGCCCCGTCCCCGGAGGGACGCACTCCTCCTACCCCGCCCGCCGCGACATTTCTGCGGCGGATGGCTGGAAGGTGCGTGCGCGGTCCGGGTGAAGCTGGGCTGCTGCTCGTACCTGCCTTGTCCTTTGCATTTAAGCCCTGGGGCCTCCTGGAGAAGCTTTCCGTGGCCAGAGGCAAGGTGAGACACAGGGCGATGTGCTGACCTCCGCAGTGTGCTCCACACCTCAGCTACAGACAGGTGAGACCGAGCAGGTGAGCGTGGCACAGACTGAGCCAAGGCCATCGGTCTTTTTGGTGGCAATCTTCTGGTGCGACGGGCTGAGAGCCTCTGACGGCAGCGACTGACTCTGAGCTCGCTGGCTTCTGAGCCCTCACCTGGGCTGCGCGCTGGAGAGGACCAGGCAGCGACCGGCCGGCACAGGCGTGGCTCTGGCCGCCGAGCGTGCCCCACTCAGCCCGTACGGGACACGCCGGCGGACGCCCAGCTTCGCAGCAGCCGCAGCAGCAGATGCTGACTAAGCCAGATGTGTCATGGGGAGAACTGTTACACGGCTTCTGCCCTCCTCCAGCCAGCAAATTAACCTCCTGACGTAAACACTCATCCTGCAATTAAAAGAAACCCAGTTCTCACTTTTCATTTTCACTCGTGATTAACATCTGCAACCTCGTAGAATTATTTCTGTGGTTGGGAACGCAGTGCTTGCCCGTCTCTCGCCAGGGGCACCCCGTCAGCGCCCCGGGGAGACTCGAGACCCTGCTTCTCACAGGGAATCGGAGGAGAGGAGCTTTCCCTTCACCGCTGAAAGCCCTCGCTTTTCCGGTGCGCACGAACGTGTGCCCTGTGCAGGTCAGCCAGAGCCACGTCCCCTACCCCTCTGGGAGGGGAGGAGGTTCTGGGAGCGCTGAAGTTGCTTCCCTGCACGTTTCCAGTGCTGTAAGACGCTGAAGGCTGCCCCGGTGCCTCCCACACCCTGAGGTGTGCGGATCCTCCCCTTGGCATCCTTCTTGCAAACTCTCCTTCTCCCCGTCCTGCTCCCGGTACATCTGAACCCCCGTGGAGCTGCGTCTTCTCTCTTGCCTTGCTCCTAGCAGGCAGAATGCAGGCAGCATCGTCTCCCTGCGCTGCTCAGCAGCCGGAGGGATCCAGCCCGGCCTCCAGCACAGGTAGGAGATGCTTGCGGTGACTGCAGCTTGCTCTCAGGAGGAGAAGCCTTGGGACGGTTGGTGGCTTTCTGTCTTCTGGCCGTGGGCTCTGCTCCGAGTCCTCCTGAACTTGTCTGGAGCTGGGTCTCGTGGTTTTGTTGCTCTGACACCCAGAGACATAAAGTAAGAAGAAACGTGGGGATGAGCGTGGTGTTTTCTCTGGCCAGGACAGGGTTTCCTCTCTAAAAGTGCCAGGAAGCGTGTAGGTGGACTGACGATTAAGAGTTCTACCCGTTCTCTCGTTTATTCACCTGCAGCCCGTGCAGGCCGTGCTTGCTGCGGGCAGAGGTTCCGTGGCAGGGGGGCCTCGGTGCAAAGCCGGGCTTCGATGGGGCTGTTTCTGCAGCAGTAATCGAAGGAGCAGGGAGAAGCAAGCAGGAGGGGTGGCTTCTCGGTGCTGCAGGTGGGAGCGCTTCCCTGGAGGAGCAGGGGCACCGGTGATAAAACGAGTAAGAACAAAACCAAGTCAGGATCTGACACGGCAGAGCAGGGTCGTACAGTTTAGCTGGGGGGTTCCTCGCTCTCCTCGGGCTGGCTGTTGCAAGCGGGG